TTAACTGTAGAAACTGTCTAATTTCTTCTTTAATTTCCTTTGTGACCCATTGCTAGTTCAAGAGGATATTATTTAATTTCCATGTGTTTATGAAGTTCTTGTGGGGGGTTTTGCCATTGATTTCTGATTTCATTACACAATGCTCTGATAATATGCATAAGGTAACTTCAATTCCTTTGCATTTGCTTCAGTATGTTCTATGAGCTAATCTATTTTGGAGACCATCCCATGTGCAGCTGAGAAGAATGTGTATTCTGATGTTGTGAGGTGGAATACTTTTTTGACATCTCCTGAGTCCATTTGTTCAAAAGTTTGGCTCAATTCTAATATTTCATTGCTGAATTTTTGTCTAGTTTATCTGTCTATTTGTGACAGTGGGGTAATGAGGTCCCCCACTACAACTGTATTAGTGCTTATTTGATTTTTCATATCCATTAATATTTGTTTTATATAGTTGGGTGCACTAGTATTTGGTGTATATACATTTATGATTGTCATCTGTTCCTCTTGGATAGTTCCCTTTAAAAGTATGTAGTGACCTTCTTTGTCTCTCTTAATTAGTCTTGATTTGAAATCCACTTTGCTGCAACCCCTGCTTTTTTCCAGGTTCCTTCAACATGGAGTATTGTTTCCCATCCTTTGACTTTCAGTCTATGAATTTCTTTTTGAATTAAGTGTGTTTCTTATAGGCAACATAGTGTTAGATCTTGCTTCTTGATCCATTCTGCCAGGCTATTTCTTTTGATTAGTGAATTGAGACCATTAACATTGATGGTTATAACTGATCCGTATTGATTTGTCATGATATTTTCCTATTGTTGGTTCTCTTTTTTCCCCTTTCCATTTAATTTCTTGCCTTGCCTGATGGATTCATTCTGTTGGGGTTCATGGAGTTGTAATCCTCATTGTCTTTCGCTAGGATATTGTTTAGAATTTTCTGGAGTGCTTGTTTGGTATTCATGAAGTTCCTCAGGTGTTCTTCGTTGTGAAACTATCTTATTTCTCCATCAACTTTGAAAGATAGTTTTGCATGATACATCAGTCTGCATTGGAGGTTATTTTCTTTTAGGACTTGAAATACTTCACTCTATGCTCTTCTTGACTTGAGGGTTTGTGTTGTGAAGTCTGCTATGATTCTGATGGGCTTTCCTTTTTATGTGATTTGTCTATTTTCTTTAGCTGCTTTTAATATTTTATTCTTGTGTTGGATTTCTGGATTCTTCACTATTATATGCCTAGTTGTTGATTTTTTTGATCATGGCTAGTTGGAGTTCTATATGCCTCGCTTATCTTTAAGTAAAATTCTTTTTCCCTGTTTGGGAACTTTCCTTTGATTACTTCTGTGAATAGTTTATGTCTTTTGTGCTATCTCCTACTCCTTCATTGACTTCAAAACTCCAATCAATCTTAATTTATTCATTTTTGCAATATCTAGTAGCTGTTGGATTGATTTCAAATAGTCCCTTGTTATTTTTAAGAAATCCTTCTTTTCACATTCACTAACCACTCTCCTGTCTTCTATAGCTGAAATTCTGTTCTCACATTCACTTATTCTGCCGTGGAAACTTTCAATGGAATTTTTAACCTCTTGGATATCTGTTTGGATGTGTTTCACATTTTCTATTTCTTTCCTATGCTGGGTATTCATGGTTTTCATCATTTTCCTCAGCTACTCTATTTTTTTATCTGTATCTGCTCTAGAGTTATTAATCTTGTTTGTCATTATAGTCACCATTTCTGTTGTTATCTGAGAAATTATTTCTGATTTCATTTTTTCCAGAGCCTCTTTCATCTGTTTTGTTACTTCCTTTGTTATCAGTTCAGAGAGTTCAGATGGATGACTTTCTGATTGTTCCACCTTGTTGCCTGTTGGTTTTGCCTTTGGTGAGGTGGAAGTCAGGATTTGCATCTTGTTTAGACATCTTCTCATTTCTATTTTTGTTGTTGCTGTTGTTGTTGTTGATGGTTTAATTCCTGGGTTGATACTTTTATATTGCTTATTGTGAGTGTATTTATTGCTAGTATTTAGAACCCTTACAAGATGACAAATTCTCAGAGGGGCTTTCCAGCTCTGGCCTTTGGGTTTTGAGTCTGTAATGATCCTTAGGCAATCTCAGTTTTGATACACCAGGAAGGACAATTGACTAGAACAATCACATCACCTTGGCCAAAGTAATACAATCATCATCAATGGTAGCATCAAAAAACAGCCTAAAAAGTGACAAACTGTGGTAACAATTAATCTTCTACCTTTAACCACATGAACTAGTCTTGTGGTTATATATTAAAATCTAGTACCAACAAGAAATATGTTTGTGGTAAATAAGCCCTTCAATATAGTAAATTTACATTCTGGGAAGAAGACTTACAAGGAGTTTGAGGGTAAAGAAATAAAAAGAGAGGGAAAGGATAAAAGGCCAGAGGACAAAGGAAGATCATGCAAACTTTGGGAAACTGGTGAAGAGGAAAACAGAGAAGGTAGGAACAAAAACAAGATCAGAATGAACTAACAACAATAGGAAAACTAGAGTGTATTCACGCACTTATAAAAATAAGAACAATCAAGACAAAGCAAAATAGAACAGGAAGGAGAGAAAAGAAGAAGAGGGAGAGGAAGAAGGAGAAGAAGAAGAAGAAGAAGAAGAAGAAGAAGAAGAAGAAGAAGAAGAAGAAGAAGAAGAAGAAGA